TAAGGCTGTAAGATAGAGGATGGTCTTGGACGAGAATTCTGCTTGCAAAACCGATCTTCTTAGGTAAAGGGGGATATGTCTTATGAGTTCTTAGGTTTGACGGTTATGATGGTATGAGAGAAAGGCTAGTTAACATATTTTGACAGATCATTGGAGAGGTAGTCGTCATTCCTAACTGGCTAGTGCTGCAATGTGTCGTATAAACATTTACCAGGTCATTTTCACAGACGTTAAATCTTCATTTTAACGAACAAGTTGCACTGCTTAAACATCCTTGAAGCGAAAGCCCTGAATGTTAAAGAGTAGTTAAACACGCAAATGCAATAAATTTTTTTTTGGCATTTGCTTAATCTAGCAATTTAGATTGCAGTACTTCTAAATATAATCTATGTGCCGTAACCGCACATCTTAAAGTGATAATTACTTCCTTAAAATAGCCATTTGCTGTTCTACTTCAAGTTAAAACACGCCCGTGTTGCCTTTGGAAGGCATTTTAAAACTATAACTGTCTACCATATACTTGAGAGAATAACCCGTTATGAACTTCAAAGCAAAGATGCGAGGGCGACTGATAAACTAATCGATTGACGAACTGCTGTGTGTGTGCGTGTGTGGGAGAGGATTGAAATCAACACCGAAAATCAGCCCAACGGGTGTGTGTGTGGAGAGCGCGTGGGCGAGGTGGACGCCAGGACAACGGAATCACGTGCCAACGCGAACGTCAGAGCAAACCTCAAACAAGTGAGGGCTGTGGGGATTTAGGGTTAGCGCCGGGATGGCTGTTTTTAACAGTGCTATATTTATGCACCTTGGACATTAACGCCAAGAACGCCAGTTAAATCTATTGGGGGAGGGGTGGAACTGCAGGCGTCATTAAGGGGATCGCCATTTAACTCCAAAATGACAGATTTCTTCCTGTCTGGGAATCGTTTTCTGCAAGCCTGTTGGTTCTGTGGTGGATTGCTTGTAATATCGTGCAACCTTGCTGGTTAACAGCCCAAGAACAGAGGCAAAACAGTGGATATAACTGTTTATTAGTGTCAGACCACCCAAGTCTGTGTGAGAGTGATTGTCGATTGCCAACTGCATTCAACGCCGGTGCCTTCACATCAACTTGCGAACAGGCTTCTCCCTCGCTCCTTTTCTAACAGTTCACTACGGTTCTTTCAAATGGGCAACTTAAGTGTCCACTGGTCAAAATTTATGCGGAAATCGTTCTTCTTTGCATGTGGGAAATTACATCCTCGAAAAAAATTTCAACGCAATGAAGGATACGAGATCAATCATAGCTGCTGAGCGTTTCCTGCTGCAGAGCATTCCGTTCACAAGCAGACGCTTATTTCGTTAACATAACTCGGCCGTAAATTATAGGAAACTGAGGAAAACTTGTAGGAGCCCATTTAATAACAAATCGTAGACAACTTGCCTTATTTTAGCATTTGGACAAGCAAAGAATTAAAACATTAAATGCTTCTTACAATAATATCCTCAATTATTATTTCGTTTGAGCCTTAGATAAATAAAGAACAGCAACGCCACAGACGATTTCGAACTGGGCGAAGAAGTCAGAGATTGGAGACGAGCATCTGCGTGGTGGAATGAATAAGTGCCGCGTAGAATTCCCACACAGGTGTTGTAAACTATGCCTGTTTATTAGGCCTTGATTACCTTGCACAGGCGAACACATCGAAGTATTGACACACTGAGGCGAGCCAGTCCCCTCAGTAAAACAACGCGAGGCCGTTAAAAATAACACGGTAAATGTTGCAGGTATTATTTGCTAAAGCGTAATTAAAGGGCTGCAAAACTGGGCACAGGCTGCTGAATAAGTTGCCGTCTAAGGCCCTACACAAATCGAATAACATCAGTTAATGTCAGAATTTATTTCCACAAAACCACCCATTTCAAGTTAAAGCTGGTGACTTTTATCAGCAGGAAGATGTCGAATTTCCAGCGCGCATGGAGTTATCCAAGCGAATCTCTGGCTGATCGAGTAGTTGAGGCGTAGTTTTGACTAAAGTATTCTGTCGACCCGGGGCCCTTATATTTTTTGGAAAAACGTGAATTTCAAGACCTGAGTTAACCTGATAAATTTGCAGTAAATAAAAATGAAAAGCGAAGTTCCGATTTCTCACACACCTTGCCGAAGGCTAGTTTATATTTGGCATGGTTAAGCTTCGGTTGCATTTGATTTATCTGAATCTGGTACCATAAAAGGTAATTGCAATGCTTAATTTTCTCCGCAGTTTCAAGTGCATTGAAGAAATCGCTTACAGATGGGGGAAAGATGGCGAGTTACCGGATCTGGCCATTCACTTCTTTGGGCTCGCACAAAAGGTGGCTGGGATTTACGACGAGGTCGGCCACTTATGACAAAATCACGGACATGAAGGTTTGGCATGTGATAAGTCGCCTGTTTTGGCCTTCGTCATGCCAGCCTGGCAGCACTAGCGCGCGTGATGTTTACCGAGTGAGCCACTACGCCGCCGCCCAGTTGTCCGCATGCATCGAGCTGCACGTTTCTGCACGTTAAAAATAAACCACGCATTTAGCAACTGACCATGCACTGTGGTCGGCTAAAAGTAAACCTGAAAGCCCGCATAACACAATTTTTTTCCTGCCTCGCCAAATATTAACTGAACCAGCTTTGGGATTATGAAATCCACGTGTATGGAGGTTATGCGCTCAAGCACTGGTACTACTCAATTACTCGATTAAGCGACTCACTTCTAGCGAATCTGTGTAAAGATAGACTAATTTAAGGCAATAAATGCAGTGCCACGATGTTGCATCAGACGGGTGTAAGATTCGCCAACTTTACTGATCACTGATGCCGATTTTATTGCTTTTACACCGGTCTCCCTGGGACTTACGCAGTATGCTGCAATTACGCCCACTATGCACGGGCCGACTAAGAGGTTCCTCGTTGTTTTCATTTGTTTTATTATGCAATAAAACAGAAAACATTAGTCAATTGTTTTCCATTTTATAACTCGAGAGCTAAGTTGGTGGGTTTTCACCTTATTAAGTTCTTGCCTCTTTCATGAATTCTGACTCATATTATGTAAATATTTGTCAACAACAAGAAAATTCCTTTGGGGAACTCCTGCTTCCAATCTAGGGGTTTGGACTGCAGGCGCAAATGAGGCTACTCGTAGGCTGAAGCTGGTAATTTTCGCGCCTTCTCCAACAGGTCGCAGTCACTGTGGCATTTCTCGTGAAAGTCACGCCATTCAAGCACACTGTCGCCTCCATTGCACACTGGCATGTGACATTTCGCACCGCTCCCGTTTTAAGTGAACAGTGTTAAATCAAGTCGATCTACGCGTATCCTGAATTTGCAATAACCCCATACACGTACATCTCATCCCCTTGCGTAATTAGCCAACCCCCGATTTCTATTTTTTGAGACCACCAACTAGCATTGTCCCGAAGTTATGAGGTACACGATAAGCAGACGAATCCCCGTGTACCAAACCCCATTAATTCTCTTTGGCCAGTTGGTATCACCGGTATGGGCTCAAATCCACCTCTGAGTGAGCGATAACAAATGATCAAGATATCAATTGATCACGTGAATACGGTTCAACCATTGGTGTTTTGGCCTCAAAGCCAATTGTTGACTTCTATTGATGTTTTAAAACATACTCCCTTGCTAGCACACCGTAATATATTTTTTTTGATAAGAAACAAATAAGTAAAATATGTTCATGATAATGGAACCACACTGTGCTATGGTAATATTACATTCCACAGCTTATAATTATTCTTGCTTTTAATTAGAATACAAAAGGGAGCCCTAACAAAATTGAGGCCATGTTTTCGCAAAATCGATAGATATAAATCCAAGATATTAATTGAAGAATAAATTTGATGAGATTTTGATTTAATTAGGTTCCTATGTGCATAATTTAAATTGTGGGTTTTAAATATTACAACTGGCTAGCTAGTATCGTGGAGAGTACGCCTTCCTCTCTTGTAGTAGGTAAAATTATTTTCTTATGCTAGCAATTTTGCTGATTAAAGCTCTTACTTTAGGAGTGATAAACTTTCTCCACTGGTATTCACATTTGCTGGCTCTACTGGCTGATGAGGGAAGTGACGGCACAGATCTCGTTTTCGTACTCGAGGGAACTGTTACTTGCCAAGAGCTCTCAGATTTGAACTAACCAAATGCTGAAGTAGACTAGATCTGGGTGCTCTCTCTGCAATGCAAGGTCATAATCCTTATAGGTGAAAATATATGTTTACCCACCAGCACATCACTTCCAAAGTGCTAATTGAAGCACTCCAACATTTGAAAACACTTAGGTGTTTAAATAAAATATGACCACAGTTTCGATTTGTACTTTTCGTGCAACGCAGGTTTGAGGGTCAAAGCAATTATTATGTCAACGCAATTTAGAATGAATTACATTTAATTCTGATGTCCGAATGTTTCTATAATGAGCACTTAACAGATTAATGCCTAATTTATTTTTTCACCTAAATGCTTTTAAAATTGCATCATACATTAGGGACTCGCGTGTTAGCGCTTGCGCGCATCGCCATTCCGCCATGCACGCATTTGCGCCTCGCGCACGGGGTCGATAAGTAATCACCGCACTACGTACGCGCACATCCAAGCGATTACAATCAGCTGATTGGCCACCTGCCAACCAATTAGTCGGCCGCTCCTAATGAGCAAACGGGCCCAATTACGGCATACCTTAGTCTCGTTGCCATCCTCACACACAGGCACACACGTACAAAACCGAAAAAAAAACGCACGTTTGGCACAACGTATTCGCGCAGAACGGACAAGAACGTCGACGGGTAGCGACAAACTCGCCGGCGGTGCGCGCAGCAGCTGCGTGTGTTTGCGTACGTCGTGTGACCTCGACAAAGGACCAACCACAGGCTACTCATACCTTTTTAGTGTCAATGAATGATACATTTCAGCGTGGGTGTCTATATAAGCATTGACTTAACACCTACAGGACTTGTTTCAGACATTGCAAATGGAGAGTCCTATAATGGAATACCCTGAAATGTCCCCTCTTATCCTTGAGACTGTCATGAAAATGACTATTGAAAAAGTGAAAACGCACCGTACAGGAGGAGTACATCCCTCAGCATCTGGGCCTGCAGTAAATGAGGAACAACAACAAAAACCCATCCCCTTCCCGCGTTCCAAGTCGACAAGTCTGCTCAGAACATTGCTAATTATTCAAATCGGTAGGAAGGCAAGCCGACTTCTGTCCCTGATCAGTCAGCCGGATTTGTATCGACCACCAAAAGCCCTACCACAAGGAAGTTCCGCGTTGGAGGTGCCACAATCGACTGTTCATGGAAACAAAAGACGATCCTCAGACGAAGAGAAAACCAAGGTGGAACAGGATTCGGTGTCGGGTCCTTCCTCCGAAAAATCGCCGTGTATGGAAGGTGCCGACTCCGCCTTTGTATTCCCACCTAGGCCTTCGCAGAGCAGCCCAACCCTCCCCGAAGACGGATCCTCTGGTGAAATTAGCCCGGTTAGTAGACTCAATCACCTAAGTTTGCATGCTCCTAATTCGGAGGACGTTTATTCCAAAGACTCATGTCCGGGTTGTAAACGCTGCTCCATTAACTCAGTGTGGATGAGGCCTCAAAGCGCACCGAAACTTCGACTATGCGAACCAGTAAGGCAGTGTTGACGGGTTTCCTTTTGGTGGCAACCAATTTTATGTACAGATTGATGAGACGCCTATCTTATTTTATAATCACTATGTACAGACCTTGTCTTCAGGATACTTTATTTTCACGTGACAGTGAGTGTTTTCTTGATTAATACAACACACCTTTCACGGAGCCAACTTCTTAGAAATTTGAAAGTTTGGACCAAATTAATGTAGCCTTGCTTGAAATGATTCTGACCTATTTCTGACAAACCTGGGCGGAAATACCAGAGTAAAAACCCTCCAAATAAACAACAGAAATCAATAAATGATACTGATGGCTAGGGTCTTAACATTACGAATCATTGTCAGTCTCTACTTTTGGAAATATGCAAAATCGCTATTCTGAGCATGCCCACTAGTGAGCTGTTGCCTGTTTGCACGTTTATTTTCGCTTAAGAGTGCAAACAATCGACCAAAACAGTTTTTTTCAGAATCACTAACAGCGGTTCTTGTCACTCCTTTCACGCTGAAGATTCACATCATTTGTGTGTAAAAAATAAAATGGTAACGTGACTAAACGGTGTGTCAGCTAGCGAAGATTTGTTCTGAGTGTGCTGAATACATAGTTTTAGCGGTTGATTGGCATACTGAGTGGCTTTCATGTGAAACCCCTCATAATTTAAACCTATTTTTCGAGGATTCAGATGGGACGCTGGGGTCGGTATAAGTTCCTACTACAGATAAATGGAGACGAAGTCCATTTAAGGTTATCTACAAACAATGAGCATGTATGAGAGTTCTTTTGTTGAAAGGATTACCTTAAAGCAGATTTACTTTGCAATATCATATGGATCCATAAGCCAAGCTTGAAATGAACATTTAAAAAACAAACAGCTACTTGGTTATGTGTAGGTCCTTTTCCTGTTTGAAGCCGTTGTTACCGCGTTTACTTGGATGTGCAGGTTTCCATGAAAGGACAAAGCTAAAAAATGACTACCAACGAACGAACTGTTGAAACGACTCGACAACAGTTGTGGGGTGAAAGGTTTTCCGAAAAAAAGCATCATTCGATATTGGCTGAAATTACCAAGTTACTGGGGCAAGAGAAGACAAAGTAATTGTCATATTTGACGTCCAAATTAAATTGGGTTGCAAAATATTTGATACTGTATCCAGACAATTAAAATGAAAGGAGACATCTCTAGCTAGATCTGTTTTGTGTAATTGGCGTAGAATATCGTGCTTTGTGTGAGGATGCTTTTAATTGGTTAGTGACTGCTACTACCACAACTACTTCTGAATAAGAGTCATTGAAAAACTATGCTTGTAGGTAACCATGTGACTCATCGAATGCACAAGGAAATCAGTTTTCGCGTTGCATAAATTTCGTCATCACAAACATGCATAGTGTTTTAAGAGAGCTTTTTTTAATGTGCCAGGGCAAGTAACATCTTATGCAAATTCACACGCTGACCGACTTTTGAATTAACGAGTGCAATAAACAGCAGTTCACTCTGAAGCGAATTCAAACCCTGTGGATTCTGAATAGGCCAGTTTTCTTGCTCATGCAAATTCCTCATTTTCAAAATCTAAGCTTGCATGAAAGTACGTAGCACGTAACGGTTGAACCATTAAGGCCACCGTCAAAACCACTCAACAGGGATGTTGACCTATGCACGCGGTTGGAAAATGAGATTCAGCCATTGGTACAGCTTCTCAGTTTCCCTACTAACTAAAACGACAAAAGAAGAAACTGCTCAAGAAAACCGGCAATTTCCTCATTAAACTGAACTAACCAAATAACTACACTTACTATAGAAGTTCATTGTAACTGCGGACTGTTCGTTTCGGACTTAACCTAATTGTGCAGAACCAAGAAAGGTCTTTTTGTGTTTGCAAAAGGTGGCTTTTTTTAGTTTTAAAAGAGGCACGATGTGGTTTTGTGTATAGAGGCCAAGGAATACCTTAAATTACAGGAAAATGGTATTTTGTAAATGAAATAAGCAATTTAACGAAATGAATGATAATACGCAGATCGTAGAGGCTAACAGCACTCCCATGGGTTTGTTCGTATTTATCATTATCCAACATCTTAACTCATGGGTCGGAGAGACGGACATTTTCGACATTGGTGCACTGTCAAGTGTCCACATCGCTACCTCAGAAATTATGTTTGGAGTTAGCAATTTAAATCAGTAAATAAAGTTTTGAATGGTCATAGGAAAGCAATGAAGCAAACGACTCTTTTGACGCCACGTAAACGTGCTAGCCACCTTAAACCACAGTCTTATTGCCAGGGGAATTAAAACAGCCTTAATAACAAATAATTCTCTCTCTTAAGAGCCACAACCTAGTTGGGCTGATAAGATATTAACGTTTTGTGAGCCATCCTAAGCATTAAAGGGAAAAATATTTGAGAACATCCGAAGTAGTTGGTGCTTTGAATTTACTGGAAATTCTTTATCGATTTTAACTATCTATTTTGGTTGAAGTGAAGACAGTTTTGTGTGACAGAAGTAGTTACAGGGACTGTGATTGTGCCAGACTAGTGTCCGAGGTCCCTCAGACGTGCTGTCACAGTTAGTGCCTGTGATGATATCATGGCGGAACTTGGAATGGCGAGTGAATTTGGTTTCGTGAACAAGTCATTCATTCTACTTCAAGAACCCAATGGTTATGGTGCCAAGTTGCGCAATCTCTACTCAGCAAGTATATAAAGAATTTCAGCACAAAGTAATGACGTAGAGACATCAAAAGTGAGGGCATGTGATTGACCTTCTATCAAACACAAAATAACAACAATTTAAAGGTTGCGACCAGCAAAATGGTAGCATGGTTCATCTTAGCGGTGTCTGATGTTCTTTTATATAACAGATGGCAGTGTGTGTAATTTGTAAGCAGGAAAACAGCAAACTCGATGGTATGTAACATGTTTGGTTCGGTGGAAGCACACCAACACCCCAGGCAATCACTGGAAACGCGTAACTTGCCTTCAAATGTACGAGCCGCGCTTCAGGATAACCTGGTAAGCTAAACACCTTCTGACCAAAATTTGCACAATTGACCGAATGGACGTGAGCACAAGGGCGATCGTTGGTAGAATTACATTCTGGGCTATCACGTGATCGTGTTTTGTTTTTCACTGGTCTTGGTCTCCCAACGAGGCCAGGACTGGGGTTCGTGGCACATGTGATGGTCACCATGACTAAGGCGGAACTCATGCATAGCTATACCGAATTGCTTAACATTTTGGGACTCATTAGTTTGTCATAGTGTGTGTGTGTGCCACTGGATTCACCGTTTCAGCCAGATCTGCCAATTTTTACTCTGCATTCACACCACTTTGAACCGTAGAAGAATTAGAGAGGTTGAATCTGTTTAGAGTGTTTGGCAAAGAAAAAAAGTACTTTTTTTTCAAATTAAAAGGCTTCATATTTTAGAAAGGCACAAGCCATACATTTCGCATTTTTCAATACCAATTTTTCGTTTAAGCGGTTAGTTACTTAAAGGAGTAGAGACTGAAGAAAAAACTGCTTATTCGATTTCTGAATGCCTTAAATTTCGAATTCTCAATTGCAAAGCCTATTTTTCTGGGCCACTGAAAAAAGCGTCCAGTTCAATAAAAATCATAACTCGCAGCCTTTTGCTGCTAATGCTTTTAATGACTGCGTCAGCAGTATTTTTCCGGCAGCTGGTGTATTTAGAAGCATATGCTAGGCAGACATGGTTGCAGGGAAAACAAGGAGATTTAATTGCTCATCTGAAAAAAACCATCACAAACGCTTCGGATTTATACACAAGGGCAAACAGTCAGTAAATAAAAAGGGGAACACTCTGGGAGATTTAATGAACTGGAAGAGTTAAGCGCCAAGCCGAAACATTACCCAAAAGTGACCCAGGTCAACTGAAGCATCTAGGCTACGTTATAGGCCTGTAGCTGAAGTTGCGTCGGCTTCTTAAGTAATGTAGGCTGGGTTTAGTTTCAAGTCACTGAAGCATAGCACAGGCAATGCCGACCCTGAGATAAGCCAAGGTTGCCTTGGTTGCTTTGGCACATCGCCTGGCACCTTTATCGGAAGGGTTATCACGTGTTGATCCTCCTTACGCTAAATAACGTATCGGAAGAGTGTGTTTTTAAGCGGTGATACAGGTAGCTCTGCACGCAGGCGAATGCAGTAGTGCTCATTCTCTAATTATCGAGCTGAACGAGGTATTTTGGGTTAAAAACACATTATAGAATGGATCATTGCATATTTCCTTACAGTTTTCGTCTACGAAAAATGAATTTATGCAAAGCTTCAGAAAACTGTCACCGCGCTGTTTAAAAAAGCTTGATTACACAGGGAGGGCTATACACTTGCTGGGAATGATGTTAGTTGGATAGTTACTCACACCAGAAATCACTTTACTTACGGCAAAATTTGGTCGAATGTGCATGGCTTTAACGCCGTTTCCAGTTTACCTAAGGCGAGACTTAATATTCGGATATGCCGTTCTGCAAAAGAAGCGAGATGTAGCGAAGATTTTCACGCCCACTACACCAAATCGCATTGCCAGTTCATTAAGCTCGACAATTGTGGATAAATATAGTTTGGAACTTATGCAACAGTGGGTGTCAACGCATTTGGCAGGACTAACACTCTGTTAGCAACCTGCTCAGGTTAATGTGGATAAAGTATTCGCCAAAGTAAATTTTCTGATTGAAGTTGTTTGCGCTTAATGAAAAGCAAGTGTGTTTCCAAACTTAAACCCTAGATGATCTGCCCCACCGTCCTTGAGACGACCTTGAGCCCAAAATGTCATGAAATTAATTTGCTACGAAGTACATGATGAATTGGACCTCGTTGGAATTTACTTAAGCGCGAAGATTATCATAGATGCATCATAGCAGGGTTCGCCAATTGGAGAAACTAAGTTTGTTTGCAAGAAGTTTCCAAAAGCTCCATCGTTGGGTAAGAAGGCTGAACCTACTTTTGAAGGGCACAATGCAGGCATCACCCACATTGCTTTGTGTGTTTTCCTAAAAGAATCACCGA